TGAAACGATATATGATAGGATGAATGTAAAGCTAATGTTCTCCCATGTAAACTATCACATAATTCACAATAAAGCATTAAAAAAAAAAAAAAAAAAACTGAAGCATGGAGTCCTGGTGTGGTGCTGTGGGTTAATGTGCTGAACTGCAAGGTCGATTTGAACCGCAGAGTCGGTGGTTCAAACTCATCAGTTACTTCTCCGAAACCCTATAAAGTGTCTCTATGAGTTGGAACCAGCTTGAGGGCACTTAACAACAATGACCAAGCTGAAGCACGGAGATATCTGCCTGAAGTTATAATGTTAGGTGCTTTAGGCTTGACTAGTTGCACCTTTAAAACTTTGCTTTTCCCACTTGAGGGAAATAGAGGGGAATCATGTGATGAAGACATTTCAAAACTCTGTCTAAAATCTGGTTGTCTGTGGTCTGGCAGAATTGGTGCGTTTGTTCAGAAGCTGCTCCGATTTGCCCTGTGCCCAGCCCTTGCCCCAGTCAGGGCTGGAGGAAGCAGCATGTCAGCCCCCAGCAGCAGAGAGAAGGGAGAGGTAGTGGGTGGTGTGGAGAAGGAAAGGGAGGAGTAACCGGTGGGGCCAGCTTTCCCCAAATAGAAATAGGCAAACAACAGAAACAGGACTAAATAATCTGCTCAGGAAATGCTGACCTGACGTGGAGACAGGATGGAATTGCAGGGATTCTGGTTTGGGCAAGAGAGGGTTTAAAGTGGCCTGCAAGGGCTCTGCTCTAGACTCGTTTAAATAGAAGCATTGTACACACAGCAGGTACAGACACATGTTCACGCCTCCTACATGCCGTCTCTTGATCTTCTCACCTCTTTCACACGCATATACACACACACAAATAGACTGATCTATACTCATACTTGCAGATGTTATGCAGAGACCGATATACAGATAAAAGATACATAGATACCTGTGCCCGACACACCTGCCAAGCACAGGCACACAGGTGATCTGGACCACTTAGCAGGCCTGAAACACACAAGCATGCATGTGTTCTGAATAGCCCATCCATCCCTTTTGGCAGTTTGAGAGCCTGTTTACTCCTTGGTCTCCTATTTCTATATTTTTAAACACAAGAAACTGATTGTCTTCACCATCAGGGAACCCTCTACCAGAGACCCTTGTTGTTTAAATGCCATCGATTCAATTCCCACCCATAGCGACCCTGTATAGGGTTTCCAAGGAGCAGTTGGTGAGCTTGAACCACCAACCTTTGCAGTTCAAACGACTTTGCACTAGCCCACAGCGACATACCAGGACCCCTTGGCAGCTACAAGTTTTTCTTTGTGTTATGGCATCTGGAGCTACAGGGAGAAGTATTTGGATAACTGTTTCAGCAAAGTGGCCATCCCATGACTTGCAGCTCAGTAAACTAAGAAAGCACTGAATAGCAGTTATTTTTATTGGATTTTATGATTAAGTCCTGGTCCTAGCTTGGCCCACAGACCTCCCTGGACCAGCTATTTTTATAACAGCCGTATTGTAGTTCTCACTCCCTTGATAATGAGGGCAACACTTAATAAGCAGTACATGTGGGCTGCTGAGTTGATAGGAACAGTTGGAAGGTACCTGGTGGCTCTCAGTCATGGTTGGTTACTGCCTTGAGCCCTTCCTCCAGCCTCATCCACGTAATAATACTTCTATAAAGAAGCCCTGGCACGTTGTACTGCTCAGCGTTACATCTAAGGTTCTCATTATTGAGTCCCCATTGTGTGTAGGAAGAGCATGCTGCATTTCACAAACAGGTGGACATCCCAGGCAGTCTCCGACAACCGTTCTCCCCTGCCAGAGCATTTGTATGGGGAGAGTTTTCCTGGACCAACTGCATCTTAATCACCTGGGGTACTGGTGAAATTGTAGATTCCTATTGGTGTAGACTCCTGGTATGGCGCTGTGGGTTAATGCGCCAGACTGCAAAGCCGTTTGAACTACAAAGTTGGTGGTTCAAGGTCACCAGCTGCTCCTTGGAAACCCTATACAGGGTTGCTATGGGTTGGATACAACTCGATGGCACTTAACAACAACAACAACTGGTGTGACACTGTGGGCTGATGTGTCAGACGGCAAAGTCATTTGAACTACAAGGTCAGTGGTTCAAGCTCACTAGCTACTCCTTGGAAACCCTATACAGGGTCGCTGTGGGTCAGAATTGACTTGACAGCACTTAACAACAACAACAACAACTGTCTCCCTTCTAGATTTAATGTTTTGGCATTGGGGCCAACCAGTGAATCTGTACATAATACCCAACCACTCCCCCCACCCCACCCCAGCCCTCACCACACACACACACTTGGTTGGTTTTTTTCTTGCACAGTTAGGTTTGGGAAGCACTGGTTTGTATTTCAATCTTGGGTGGGTGAGAAATACTGAACTATCAGATAAAAGGTCTTATCTGGTTTGCTTTGAATGTCTGCAGGAAAATTACCATACACGACAACTGTTTTGTATTTGGTTGCTATTAGCCCTTTAAGAGTTGGTTCTGGGGGTGGGAGTTGGGGGTTGTTTGGCTTTGGAGGGGCTCTGTCGAGCCCTGGGGGGCCTCCCCACCTGCAATCCTGCCCTGGTAGTTTTCAAGCTTGATGGATTGGCACTCAGTGAAAGAATTGTGATTTCCTGTGGAATTTTTGCTCTCACAGGATTTGACCCTGTCGGACTAGAGAATAAATAGATGGGTTCATGAGCATGTGACTTAGCTGATGGCAGAGAGAATGATCATGGTTGAGAAGTTGGGGAGAGGAGAAATCGAGTAAGATAAAAGGCAACACTTGCCTACACTATCTGACTAACAAATCTACAACCACTGCTGGAACAGTGATCCTTGACTGAATCTCCTACTCATCCGAGAGCCTGACCAAGCAGTGGGAAATTGCTCCCAAATAGTTTCTCACAGTAGGCGCCTTTGGAAGCAATTATATTTGAGCACATAGCTTTAGTGCTCTGTGAGGTCATGGTCCGATCGTGACGCCTCACAGTAGCGTCAGAGGCATCTTTATGCTGTGATACTTTGTTAGGTGTAGGGTGTAGGGTAAGCAGTAGGAATATTCATGTTGTAAAAATCTTCCAGTTTGTCTTTGGTATAGCGCTGGTGTTACGTTGCCATCGAGTCAGCTCCAATTCATGGTGACCCCACATGTGCAGAATAGAACTGCTGTCTAAAGTTTTCACGGCTGTGACCTTTCAGAAGCAGATTGCCAAGTCAGTCTTCTGAGGTTCTGCTGAATGGATTTCAGCCATCAACCTTTCATTTAGTAAATGAGTGCTTAACTGTTGTTGTTTAGTGCCATCGAGAGTCAGCTTCCACTCATATTGTCCCTGTATAAGGTTCCCGAACAGTGGCTGATGAGTTTGAACCGCCGACCTTTCAGTTCAAACAGACTTTGTGGCCTAATGCTTATCTTAAAGTGCCATACCAGGTACTCTTGGTGGTTATGTGCCGTGGAGTCGGTTCCGACTCATAGCGACCCTGCTCAGGGTTTCCAAAGCTGTAAATCTTTACGGGAGCAGAAAGCCATCTTTCTCCCGTGGAACAGCTGGTAATTTCAAACTGCTGACCTTGAGGTTCACAGCCCAATTCGTAACTAGTGTGCTACCAGAGCATAACGTACATTATCTGTGTGGAAAGTATTGTCCCCATTTCACAGATGAGGAAACGGAAGTTTTCAGAGATCGAATAACTGTGCTAGGCTAAATATTTAGTGGGACAAAGCTGAGATCTGATTATTTGTCTCCAAAGTCTGTATCCATAATGCTACTATTATCCTGCCTAGGAAACCTTGGGAATGAGAGCCAGTGATTGTAGGAAGGAAGTCTGATGTAAAGGCAACTGGTGGGGACAGGAGACTGAGGGCACTTTATTGACTCTTAATCACCAAGGTGGTGCTGTGGGTTAAGCATTGGGCTGCTAAGTGAAAGGTCAGTGATTCGAATTCCCCAGCTGCTCTGCAGTGGAAAGACAAGGCAATGTGCTTCTATTTGGATTTACTGTCTTAGAAACCAGCAGCTCTGCTCTGCCCTGTAGAATCTCTACAAGTTGGAATGACTCAGCAGTAGTGGGTGGGTGCATACCATGGGGGCTCCTGGGCTTACTCTTAGCAGCTGGGGACAGGAATGCCTGTTTCCATAGGTGTTTACTGCCTAGGTTGTGACCTCTAGGTTTTGCCACAGTGATTTATTGATTGCTTTTCTAACTGCAAGATTGACACATAGCAGGGTGCACCCTGAAAGACCACCCAGGAAGTTCATCTGGGGTAAAATGATGCAGTAGCCTGCTTTCCTTAGGAGGCATGAATACACACACACACACACACACACACACACACACACACACACAGGGTCATTGTCCTTCCTTTATTGTTCCTGTGGGTCTCTTCAGTTCAGCTAGACCCCTATGGGAATGACTGCCAGCTTTGAATTTGTGGGAACAAAAAGTAAACAATTCGTTGTGCTGGTTTAAAATTTCCTTTCTTTTTTTCTTGTCCAAAAGTGTAGGGTAACAATGTGCCCCAGATTTCTTAGGGGGAAAATCCAAGCTAAATTTCTCTGTTAAGCATTGTCCTCGTGGAAAAAGTCCTAGAAAAATCAGTTTAGGCAAATGATAACCCGATCAAGTCAGTCATTTTTTTTGTTTTTAATTAATTTTTTTTTTACAATGAAATGTGTCTTAGCTACAGAAATTATAATATTCAAAATTTTAGGCTTTGATAAAATAGCACTGTAGATAGAGGAGGAGTGACAGGGTTTGTTTTGGGTCTTGGAATGAAATGGCAAGAGGGAAAAACAAAGTAAGGAATAACATCAGCTTACTCGCCTTACCCTAGGGGATGGGTCTCTGTGTGTATATGAACATGCATGTGTGCCTGGACTTGTAAGATTTTCAAGAATTCAAACTGAAATCGGTTACATGTTAATGAACCAGAGTTAAATTAGCATGACCTAAATGTGCCAGCTGTTTTATCTTTTTTTCCTCTGCCACCCCTCAGGGAGAGAAACAGAGAGAGACACAAATCACCCCGGAGTAAAGATGGCAGGGGTTCAGAAAAATCTGTCACCATCCAAGCTCCCACTGGAGAGCCCCTGTTGGCAAATGATTCCACTCGGACAGAGGAAGTTCAGGTATGGATCAAAGCATTCTGGAAGCATACTGCCACTTGACCAAGGCTCCTTTCAGTAAATGTTTTCCTAAGTTGTGTTGCCATAGGTTCTCTTGGGTTTTTAATCTTTGTTTTTGTAGCATGTAAATTAGTTTATCCTCGTCCCATGGTTTCTTGTTAGTCTAAGGACACTGTGCTGCCATTGGCTTACTTGGAGATTCTTCTGAAGTGTAATTGGTTGGTTCACTTTGAATGGTGTTGGAAAGAAGCCAGCCAAGTTGATGACAGGACAGGGAAGGGAAAAGTTACAGGCTAAAGTCTCTGAAGACTCATTCCAAAATATAACAGTGTAAGAGAAGGAAAGAAACTCCCTCTCTGAAGAACCTAAATCAGTACTGGGAAACAAAAGAAAGTGTTTGGATGCCCTAGACTGAACACCACTAATATTTGTAAGAAATAAGTCAGGAACTGTATACTCAAATGCTTAGTTAAAAAAAAAAAAGAAAAAAATCAGTTGCCATCAAGTTGATTCTGACTCATGGAGAGCCCCGTATGCGCAAATCCACTCCATAAAGGTTTCAAGGTTGTGGCCATTTGGAAGCAAATCCCCAGGCATTTCTTCTGAGATACCTCTGGGTGGATTTGAAGCGCCAACCTATTAGTAATGGAAACACAAATAAAGGAATAAGCCCTGGATAAAAAAGAGGAAAAAAATATAACAGGCAGGCTTGAAGGTGAATAATAGTCTGTTAGGGATATGTTAAGGAGCTCTGGTAGTATAGTGGTTTCAAGGTGGGTTGCTAATCTCACGGTCAGTGTTCGAAACTACCAACCGTTCCATGGGAGAAAGATGGCCTCATCTTTCTACTCTCATAAAGATTTACAGCCTCGGAAGCCCCATACAGGGTCACTTATGAGTCAGAACCAACTCCCCGGCACACCACCGCCACCCCCACCAGGGGTGTGTTGGAAGGAGGTCTGATAGCATAGTGATTATGAGTCGACTGCTAACCTCATGGTCAGCATTTCAAAACTGCCAGCCATTCTGCGGGAGAAAGATGAGCCTCTCGGCTCCTGTAAAGAATTATAGCCTCGGGAACCAGGCTATACACGGGTCACTATGAGTCAGAACCAACTCCATGACACTCCATGGCACACCACCACCACCATCACCACCACCAGGGGTGTGTTGGAGAGCACGTTGGCTCTGTAGGATAAATCTGGACTGGAGGTCACCGGGTCAAATCCACCAGCCGCTCCAAGGAATAAAGGTGAGGCTTTCTGCTCTGCCAAGAGTTATAGCCTTGGAAACCTCTGGGTATGTGTCGGAACCTCCTTGATGTCACTTAGCACTTGACAACAAGGGCTGTGGTGCAGAGTGATGTGGTCTATGCAGACTGGAGACTCCATTTCCTAGTTAAAGGACCAGTGTGGTTCCTTAGCTCCCGACACTTGGTACCACTCAGGAATCCAGGTTCAATATGACCAGGTTTTGCTATATTTAAGAAAAGTTGGAATAGAATCGTAGGTGAAATCACCTAACTTGTAAATATTGGAAGTTTAATAATTCAACAAAAAAACAAAAAAACACGCAACACTGTGTGGGTTCTTTTCACATTCTCAACTGGCTGGCAGCCCACTAGATTTAAATAAACATCTGAGCTATACTCAGAAACATGTTTGCACACCCTCTGTAGTTCCTGAAATATATACATGTCCAGCCTTGTCCCTAAATAAGCAAAGCAGTGTATGCACGCACAGCTGTAAAGATATAGGTATCAGCATGTACCTGTGCACCGCTGGAGGTACACACAGATAAGCCTTTTCAAGTGGAAATATGGACTGAAGTGTGAATTACTTAGAGTCTACAAGATGTTGCTGGGATCCAGAGCTTCAATTTTGGGTTGAGTGTGGGCTTTATTCAGTGATGAGCACATGCTTTCAGCACTGTTGCAGTGTCTGCCTGGGTGATGAATGGAGTGATGGTAGATGAATGTGACCAATTCTAGGATTGTGTTTGGATCACCAATAAATGCTTTTTTGTTACTGTTGGTAAGTGCTGTTGAGTTGGTTGCAACCCAAAGCAACCCAGTATAGGGTTTCCGAAGAGCAGCTGGTGAGATTGAACCACTAACCTTGCTTTAGGAAGTCAGTTTCCTTTTAGATGTGAATTCAGAAGTGCTGTTGGCCACTGCAAAGACGTTTTCTTTTTTTCTTTCTTTGCAGCCTGTGTAAGTTGTAGCTCACTGGGAAGCTTGCACTGGGAGCTATTCTTGTTTACTCCAGGAAGATGTGATGGGAAAAGCATTGAACATCTGTACTTATGAGGAGCGGGTGACCTTGAGCAATCACAACCTTTGCAGGCATTAGTTGCTTCATCAAAAACCCAGGGGATATAGGATTAGAGGACCCTTTCTCTTCTAAGAGGAGCATCAAGCTTTAGAGAACCATTTGGACATCTAAATTTTTAGGCACAAATGTGCACACATTCTTAAAATGATCAGAGGATTTAGTTAGTTAGCAGCTCTGTATGCAGGTAAAAAGGGTGGATGAATGACTAGATCAGAACAGTATAGTATCATGGTCACAAAAAGTGACCATAAAATACTAATAATAATGATTTTAACTTTGATAATCAATTGAATGCTAGGCACAGTATAAAACATGAAATCCAGTACTTGCCTTCAAACTGTTAGAAAGTAAGTTATTTTCTATGGTCTGGAACTAATAATGCACCTTATTTTAAAACCATCTGTGTGTTTGTGGTTTTAACCTTCCCTTAATTCTTTTCTTTTCTTTTTAAATTGAACTACATTTACATATGAAGAAATGAACCGAGATCAGAAAAGTACAGTTGGATGAGTTTTAAGAAATTCATACACACATTCCCACACCCTTACCAAGATACGTATTTCCACACCCTTAACCAAGATACATATTTCTGTCATTCCATAAACTTTTCTTATGCTCTTCCTAGCCAATCCTGCCCCTACCTTTATCCCTCCAAGGCAATTCCTGTGTTGATTTCTATCACTGTAGATTTCGTTTTGCCTGTTTTGGTATTTAATATGGTCGGTTGGAATTACATCCTTTTGTTTTCACTTTTTCTCCCTCTGCATAATCATTTCAAGTTTTGTCCATGTTTTGGTGAATATCAGCAGTTCTGCCTTTATTTTTAGTGAGTTGTATTCCATTGTACGCGTATACCACATACAGAGAAGTGTATATTTAATTTTGTATGAAACGGCCAGGCCATTTTCCAGAGTGAGGAGAGTCCTAGTTACTTCTGACTCTTGTCTTAGATAGCAACTTCTTCCTTGGTATGTGGCTCTCTTGACTTGCCAAGTTCAGATTCACAGGTTCAGACCTTCACCACTACTAACATCTCTTGCCACAGGCTGTACGTTTTAAAAATCTTATTTTGATTATTCTTAGATGTGAGGATTATTCTAAGAGATTTCTATCTTTCTGATTCAGGTATTAACCAGTTAGAAATTCAGGTTTTTCTAACTTGGTATCCTGTTCATTAATTTCACCCAACTTGTCATTGCATCTTGATTGATTATTTTTTCCAAGTTAAATCATATATATAAATCTCTGAGGCATAACCTCTGTGGGCCCCATGTGACATTTTACTTCCTTGTTGCTCTATTGTTGATTCGGAATAGTCATAATTACCAGTGAAATAACAAAATGGTTTCATATCCTAGTAGTTGCAAACAAATAGACTGATTATTCCAATTAGAAACTATTTGTTGTTGGGCCAATGGGTCAGTTCTGACTTACAGAGAGAAAACACAGACACGTGACACAGTATAATGATCTTGGCTATTTCTGTGTCCTGGATGTTTAGTTTGCCATGAGAACATGTGTTTGGGGAGGAATTTTCAAACTATTTTGGTCATAGGTATTTTAATTCTCTTAGCCTGACCAATGAGAAATGCTGTTACAGAGTGATATTGATACTTTGTAAGTGGGTCTTGACATTGTGTTGTTGTTGTTAAGTGCCGTCAAGTTGGTTCAACCCATAGTGACGCTGCATAGGGAGTGGCTGGTGGGTTAGGACCACTGACCATGCAATTCAAACCAAATGCGGTCCAGCGCATTAACCCATAGAGCCACACCAGGATACTGTGTGGTGGTGGTGGCAATGTACTGTGGAATTGGTTCCAACTCACAGTGACCCTGTATAGAGTTTCCAAGGCTATAAATCTTTATGGGAGCAGAAAGCTTCATCTTTCTTCCACGGAACAGCTGGTAATTTCGAACTGCTGATCTTGAGGTCAGCACCTAACTTGTAACGACTCTGTTCACAGAGCCCCTAGGACACTGTGTGGACTGTTGGCAGGTAGACTATTACTTAACACAGTTGATTCTTATTCTTCTTAGTTAAGTTCTGTAAAGCTGCTGTGAACACTAAATTAACACACACTCAGAGGGGAAATACAGGGTGAGGTGCTTGCAAGCTTGTGGTCATAACATTTTCATCAACTAATCAATACATAACCTTGTTTTATGTGCATTTATGCTGAAAGGCACCTGATTTAATATATATTATTGATTCATTAACATGAAACCTAACGCCATCAGCACTATAACTCATGCCCAAGCAAGCCTTATTTAGCACATGCATTTTCTTTAAACAGGCACAATGCAGCCTTCTTGTGCTGAAGGGCACTAGATAGCACTTAATCAGTATGGTTGGGGACCATTTTAAACAGCAAAACACCTCCACCAGCAAAAGAAAAACAAAACACGTGGAAGTAAGTAAAAAAATTAATGTCAACTAAACATTAATTGAAAGCTGAAGCAAAAAGGCAGAGTTGTCTGTTGCCTGCTTGACCTCAGCTGAGAACGTGTGATTGACCCAGTCAAAATTTTTGCTGTTGTACAGATGACTATAAGGAGTTCTGGTAGTGTAGTGGTTACGAATCGGGTTGCGAACCACAAGTTTAACAGTTCAAAACTACCAGCTGTTCCCATAAAGATTTAGAGCCTTGGAAACCCTGTATAGGGTCGCTATGGGTCGGAACTGACTCCACGGCACTCAGCCACCACCACCACAGATGATTGTGAAGGAGCCTTGAATATTGATTTGTAGTTTATAAATACATTTTAGAGAGAAGGTGGATTAAAAAATACAAAAGCTACAAACAATGCGGGTTAATTGTAAGTAGAAGATTTCCCACTTACAGAACTTGGACTTTGTTACCCTTTTTAAGACCCAGACAAGAAAACAGAGTTTTCTTCTTAATCTATGGTTGAATTTCTCACATGGTTAGCCTAACAATAGGATTGTTGATTGCAGTTCAAATAGCTCCAGGTCCCTCTGAGCTTCTTTGGGGATTTCAACATGGTAAGTTGGTAATCAGCTTTATAGTAGATGTTGTTGTTGTTGAGTGCCCTTGCGTCAGTTCCAACTCATAACGACCCTGTAAAGGGTTAGGAGTGACAGGGTTAGGAATGGCTGGTGAGTGGTTCAAACGGACCTTGAGGTTGAATGCTTATCCTTTGGTACCATATCTACTCATGAGTAATACATTACCAAAACAAACAAGCAAAGAGGGTGACTGAAGGATTCTCTGTTTGAGCAGATAGAAATATAATCCATTTTGAAATATTTCAATATTGTTAAAGTTAAAACTATGTCTTCTATTGAAAGAATTGAACTTCATTCTCAAGCAAACCCAATGTGAGTTGGTAAAACGAGGCAGGCCCTCCACGTTTTCCTTGCCTTGGGGATCTTACAAATGACCTGTGTGACGAGTTGCTCTTCATCCTCACTGTTTTCTTCCCATCAGGATGACAACTGGGGAGAGACCACCACGGCCATCACAGGCACCTCAGAGCACAGTATATCGCAGGAGGACATTGCCAGAATCAGCAAGGACATGGAGGACAGTGTGGGGCTGGATTGTAAACGCTACTTGGGCCTCACCATCGCTGCCTTTCTTGGACTTCTAGTTTTCCTCACCCCCATTGCCTTCATCCTGTTACCCCCGATCCTGTGGAGGGAGGAGCTGGAGCCTTGTGGGACGATTTGTGAGGGACTCTTCATTTCTGTGGCTTTCAAACTCCTCATTCTGCTCATCGGAACCTGGGCGCTCTTTTTCCGCAAGCAGAGAGCTGATGTGCCGCGGGTGTTTGTGTTCCGGGCCCTCCTCATGGTTCTTATTTTTCTGTTTGTCATTTCCTATTGGCTTTTCTATGGGGTCCGCATTTTGGACTCTCGGGACCGAAACTACCAGGGCATTGTGCAATATGCAGTGTCTCTTGTGGACGCCCTCCTCTTCATCCACTACCTGGCCATCGTCCTGCTGGAGCTCAGGCAACTGCAGCCCATGTTCACACTGCAGGTGGTCCGCTCCACCGACGGCGAGTCCCGATTTTACAGCCTGGGACACCTGAGGTAAGGGAAGACCCTCGGGGGCTGGGGAGCAGGGCCACTCGTGCCTCTCAAGAAGAAAACAAGTCCTTACCACATGGAGGTGATGGCAGATGCTGTGTGTTGGAACCACATGGAGTCTCTCTTCTGGTTCTGGGAGGAACTGTGTGTGTGTCTGGAGAGGAAAGGAAGATGCCTGCAGGGTACACAGTCTTGGGTCCTCACTCTCCTAACCTCGGAGTGGGATTGCGTGTACTGGCTTTCATGCACATTGGGGTTTTGCAGGTTCTTAGAGTTGTTGGCAGCTCCCAACATTGATGGAGAATGAATCCATAGTGATGACTGCTCATCTTGCCCCTGAAATTGACCTGTGGGTGATGGATAAGATGATCAGCAGCTCATTTTGCGCTAAATGGCACATCTGGTATCTCAATGTAATTCTTAATTGTCCTGTTTTTTTCTACTCTTAGAGGTTACCTGGTTTGGCCAATAAATTATATAGTCATCTTAGTGACCCTCCAATATAGAATTTAGTGCACATTAGAGATCAGATAGGCCAAGGGGTTAGTTTTAAAATGTATGCATGAGGAAAGGATAGTGATCAAATTGGGATGTCATACTTTAAATATATGCATAAGTCTCATTATCTTTTGATTAATTTTATTCTAATTTACCCTAAGGGTAAGAACTTGGTATGGTGTTGTTAAGTGTTGTTGAATCAGTTCAACTCATATGTTGAACTGTATGCTGATCTTGTGGTTCACAGTCCAGTGCTAATCCTACAGCACTACACCAGGTACATTTTTGTTGTTGTTGTTGGGTGCCATCAAGTTAGTACTGACTCATAGCAACCCTAGGCACAACAGAATGAAACACTGACCGGTCCTCAAAATCGTTGCTATGTTGGAGCCCATCGCTGCTGCCACTGTGTCAATCCATCTTGTTGGGGGGCCTTCCTCATTTTCTCCAGCCCTCCACTTTATCAAACATGATATCCTTCTCCAAGGACCATCACTCCTGGTAATATGTCTAAAATAAGAGAGACGAAATCTGGCCATCCTGGCTTCCAGGGAGCATTCTGGCTGCACTTCTTCCAACACAGATTTATTTATTCTTCTGGCATCTGTGGTACTTTTAATATTCTCCTCCAACACCATAACTCAAGTGCATCAATTCTTCTATGGTCTTCCTTATTCCCTGTCCAACTTTCACATGCGTATGAAGTTATTGAAAGTACCATGGCTTGGGTCAGGCACACTTTAGTCGTCAAACTGACATCTTTGCTCTTGAACACTTTAATGAGGTCTTGTGCAGCAGATTTTCCTAATGTAGTTTGATTTCTTGACTGCTTCATCCACCAGGTATAGAGTGTTTTACTTAGTCTTCATAAAACCTTTCAGTAGATAATGTTACACAAACTGGAGTTTGTGGGATATAGTTATTTGCATACAGTAGTATGGCTCACTTTGTTTAGGATTCACCCCCAGATGTCAGGAAGCTGTGTCTGTAAGTACCTCCATTGTAGCATCTCCAGCTTTGTATTTACTGGTCTAGTTTTTTTTATCTCTTTTCCTATACAAATGATGAGCTCCCTAAAGAAAGCGCTGTATCTTTCTCCCCATTGTATCCAGTGCCCTGCACTAAGCCTGACACACAGTTGACACTCCACTTGAGCACTGAATCATCTAGAAGATCTAAAATCAAAGCCTTTGCCTTTCCAGTAGGTTTTTCTGCCTCCTTAGGCACTGTATGCTCATTTCTGTGACCTGCGTGGCACATGATGAGCACTTAGTAAATTGTAGCTATTACTGCTGTGGTAACAGGCAAAGCAGCCAAAATTGGTAAGGACATCTTAGTGGGCATCGAAGCAGTTGTCTTTGTCATAATTTTGGCTGGGACCCAGGAGATGGAGTCTGGGTCACACTGCCAAACCATCTCTGTGTTGGCACGTACCAGCTTCTATTCCTCTGACTCTTTTTGTACCATTTGAGGACCAGATGGTTTCATCTTCAAGGGAGCTGCTCCCCTTGCCGATCCACAGAGGGAATCAGTTTTGAATTTGTGGTTTTTGCAGCAATATCTGGTGTTCAGAGTCCTTTGAAAATGCCCACAGGATTCTGAAGGCAATTCACTGATGCTTAGTCATCTCAGACAACTTTCTTTCCCCACAATGTGTGTTGGACAATGTCCAGCAAACTTTGTATTAGGCATCTGTGAACTGAAAGTGGGTGGTTCAAGTCCACCTAGAGGCAACTCAGAAGAAAGGCGTGGCATCGTACTTCCAAAGAAATCCGCCATTGAGAACCCTGTGGAGTACAGTTCTGCTCTGGCACACACGGGTTTGCCATGAGCCAGTCTACTTGACAACAACTGGCACTGGTACACAGGGTGGCTGCCTTCACAGCTCTTCATCTCAGAACTTGTGGAGCAAGCATACAGTGCACTTGAAGACCAAAGACCTGTACACCACTGTGGGTTTAGGCACTGGAACATACATGTGAATAGGGCATGGGAATACACCAGGACAAGTGACTTTCAGGCAGTGGTCCCGATAAAGTCCAGTGGGAAATAGTGTCTCAAGGGTAGTCTTGGCTAGCGGTTACGGTGATGGAGACAAATCTGGTTCTGGTCACAATGGCGATGAGTGGTATTTAGAATCTCATACTTGTAGCCAAGACACCAGGCAATTGCCAGGTTGTTGTTGAGCATCAGTCTTGGTCGTGTAAATCTGGAGCTGTGGCAGTGGGACCGGGTCATCCGGGTAGTAGGACTGACTCCTGGGTTCCCATGTTGGGGGGATCAGGACTCTGTTCTCCCCTTATGCCTAGTTGATCTGCCCATTGTAACACTTGCCTGATGACTGCGTGATTTAGTGTTCAAGGGAACTGCCACCCTTCCTGATCCACTGAGGGACTTGGTTTTGGATTCACATGGTCTCCGTGGCGATTAGGGTAGGGCAGGGAGAGGAGAGAAAACAGCCCCAGGAAAGTATGCCTGTGGTATGCTGCTAGCAGCAGCCCTGGCATCTCACCAGTAGCTCTGCTGCAGGGGGCAGAAGTGGGTGAGATAGGCAGGCCCCATCCTGTGGCAGGCCTTTTTGTGCTGCTGGACTCACAGACTTCTTGCATACCTCTTGGTTCTTACCACAACTGACAACTGCCCAGCAACCCTAGGTCCTGGGATATCTAGATGGTGGTCTGTTCCCAGTGTGTGGGGCCCTCAGTACCTTCCTTTCCACCCCTCTTTAGAGTTGTGGGTTTTCCTCCTCTCCCTGCCTTTAATAAGGCCCCTTTGTCCCTCACATGGAGACCCTGGTGGGTTATGGGGGTGGAAAGAAGACGTCACAAATGGAGCCCTCTGGCAGGGTCGGTGCCTATGGGACAGCCAGTCTGTGAAAGTCAGGCCAGGCTTGGCATTGTGCCCTCCTGGCATTGTATGGTCTTGGTCACCCGCCGGCCCTCAGGCTAAATCTGGTCTAGACTCAGTGGTGGCTGGATGAGTGACTGAGCCAGAAATATAACTTGTAAGCATCCTTTGTGAAGTGTAGAGACAGGAGGGAAGGGGGCTTCCAGAGAGGCATAGAACCTTGCGGGGGGTGGATCAGAAGAGCAGGCCTTCATCAGCCCTGGCCGGAACCACAAGCTGTTCCTGTTTCTGCCTTCATGTACTATCTTTTCTTTACAGCCACTGATTTGGCTTAGGTGCAGACCTCTGATGAGTTTTTTTTTTGGTTTTCAGAAATGATTTAACAGAACTGACTGAGCTATTTTTGATAGTTGTTAAAAGACTGCCTGCATTTTGGGGTTCTTAAGAAAAATGTGCTTCTCCTGTGCTCTCAATATGGGTACTTGACCTGGCCCTACTTGTTGGCAGGAAGACTGGGCTTACATGAAAACTTTCAGAAATGGAAAGGGTGTTGTAGAAAGTCAAGTACCACAAACAGATGATGCTGCATTCTCCCCTTTGTACAGTGATTTTGGATTATAAGAACTTTTCCTAGGCTTGGTCTAATTTTATTTGTGGCCCTGGAATGGTCAGGGCAGGTGGTATAGTGATCTCCCCATTTTATAGTTAAGGTTCACCAGACACCAGCACCATCCTTTGCCTGACTCCCTGGTGCCTCAGCACATTTAAATTATAATGCCCCACATACTCCTCACTGGGCACTTTTCCTGACTCCATTCTCAAACAGAGTTTTGAGCTTTCTTTAAGATTTCACATAAGATTTGTAAGTCATTAGAAATGTGATTGCACGTGGTGGTCAGAAATGAGAAAGTCAGAAGAATGGAGCGAAGAAACTGAAAATGAGCATCTTATTATACTAAGTAATAATGCCTCCCTTTTGAAATGTTTAAAGGGGGAAATAATATGAATATGGAGCGCAGAAGCTCATGTAATTAACCAACTGAATCTGAAATGTACAAACAAGAAACATTGAAAAGCTTAACTAACAATTACAGAGTCCTTACTGCATGCCAGGTACTTAGTAAATTCTTAACAATTTGGCTAAGTGATGTTCACAACCACCTAGTGAAGCATGATACTCATTAAAAATTGAGGCACAGAAAAGTTGTCCAAGGATGTAAGTTTGTCATTGTGGGACCCAGAACTTGAATCCAGGTTGTCTGGTTCCAGTGTGAACATCACCATTTCACCTTACTGCCTCTGATTAAAGTGACTGCTTTAAAAATGCATGAACAAGTGTGTAAGACTTTTTTGAGTGCTTACCATGTACTCAATGTCCTGTCAGTTTGTTGCACAATGGTGGCTATGCCACCAGTATTTCAAATACCAGTATAATCACTCATGGTGGACAAGTTTCAGTGTAGCTTCCAGACTAAGACAGACGAGGAAGAAGAACCTGGTGATATCCATGTAAACAAACTGACCAATGAAAACCCTATGTATAAAAGCAGATCATTGTCTTGATTTATGCCAAAGATGAGTCCCTCCAGTTGGAAGACACTCAGAATACCATTGGGGACAAGCTGCCTCCTCAAAGTAGAGTTTACCATAATGACATG